CAGGCCCCCAGCCCCTCCTCCCTCAGACCCAGGAGTCCAGGCCCCCAGCCCCTGCTCTCTCAGACCCAGGAGTCCAGGCCCCCAGCCCCTCCTCCGTCAGACCTAGGAATCTGCAGACCCCCAGATCCTCCTCCCTCAGGCCCAGGGGTCCAGGCTCCCAGCTCTTTTCTGCCTGCAGAGTCTGGGGGCCGGGCCCTGGAGCAGGAGCTCCCTGGAGCTGTCTTTATCCTCTGTGATGTGACTCAGGAAGATGATGTGAAGGTGAGCCGAGTTCCCATTCCTACCCCCATCTCCGCTAATGACCAGTTCTTTGTTCTCCTCCAGCCATTTGCATGTGCCTTTCCCTCTACTTTTCCTTCCTCTCCTGGCTCCACTGGACCCGTCAAAGGTTTCCAACCAGTGTCACTCCACACACAAGATCTTCTGTGACTGATGAGCAGGTCACATGTTCCTTCTCTCCCACCTCTCCAAGGCTCTTAGCACATCTGACACGTGGGTGGAAAGGAATAAGTCCCTCAAAGTGGGTCAACTGTAACTGATTTTTCTGTCTCTTTTTTGGAGGTGTCACTGTCACTGAGGCTGGAGTGCAGTGGCGTGATGTTGGTTCACTGCAACCTCTGCCTCCCAGGTTCAAGCCACTCTCCTACCTCAGCCTCCCGAGTAGCTGGGATTACAGGCGTGCGCCACTATGCCCAGCTAATTTTTTTTCTTTTTTTGAGACGGAGTTTTGCTCTTGTTGCCCAGGCTGGAGTGCAATGATGCGATCTCGGCTCACCGCAACCTCCGCCTCCCGGGTTCAAGTGTTTCTCCTCTCTCAGCCTCCTGAGTAGCTGGGATTACAGGCATGCTCCACCACACCTGGCTAATTTTGTATTTTTAGTTGAGATGGTGTTTTTCTATGTTGGTCAGGGTGGTGTTGAACTCCCGACCTCAGGTGATCCGCCTGCCTTGGCCTCCCAAAGTGCTGGGATTACAAGCATGAGCCACCGTACCCGGCTAATTTTTGTATTTTTAGTAGAAACGGGGTTTCACTATGTTGGCCAGGCTGGTCTCGAACTCCTGACCTCACGTGATCCACCCACCTCAGCCTCCCAAAGTGTTGGGATTATAGGTGTGAGTCACTGCATGTGGCCTGTAACTGATTTTTTTCTCCATTATTTCTGGGTTCCTCTTTCTTCCTTTTAATCAGTATCTCTCTGTTATCTGCGCCCCTTTAGTAACTGTCCCCTATACTCTCTGTGAATCCTTGTCACCCCCATGCCCCACCCCCTAACCCTGGGTGCAGTGTGGCTCTGACCAGCGCTCTGTCTCCTGCTTGCCTGCTGTGTCTGCTGATCTCCGCATCCCTCTTCCTCTAGTTCTTGTCACCTGACCTGGGAGTCCAGCTTCCCCCTCCTGCCTTACGTTTGGGAGCCCTGTCTTCTTTATGGCTGGACACCCCATCTACTGCTCATTGAAAGGACATTTCCTGGGCTGGGCATGGTGCCTGTAATCCCAGCACTTTGGGAGGCTGAGGCGGGCGGATCACTTGAGCTCAGGAGTTTGAGACCAGCTTGGACAACATAGTGAATCCCCGTCTCTACTAAAAAATACAAAAATTAGCTGGGCGTGGTGGCAGGTGCCTATAATGCCTATAATCCCAGCTACTTGGGAGGCGGAGGTAGGAGAGTCGTTTGAACCCAGAAGGCGGAAGTTGCAGTAAGCCGAGATCGTGTCAATGCACTCCAGCCTGAGTGACAAGAAGGAGACACCGTCTCCAAAAACAACAACAACAACAACAACAACAACAAAGGACATTTCCTTCCTCCTCAGACCCTGGTTTCTGAGACCATTCGCCGATTTGGCCGCCTGGATTGTGTTGTCAACAACGCTGGCCACCGTGAGTTGTGAGACCTCAGGGCCATTCCTTACCTCCTGCCCCCCCAACTCCGTTTCCTGCACTTCAGTTTCCCCACTCCCTACCCCTGATTCCCTCATCCTGCCTCATACCTCTTTCTGGTCACTTGGACAGGAGAGTAAACCAATGGAAGCCCCCTAGGCCTGGGCTGAAACTGGTCCTGTTCCATCCCTCCTGTGTGTCCCGAGTTGTGCCTTCACCTGACCATGTCTTCCCTCCCTCCCTCCCTCCTTCCTTCCTTCCTTCCTTCCTTCCTTCCCTCCCTTCCTCCCTCCCTCC